AAGTGACTCCTTCATGACCTGCTGTAGAAAGATGGAATTCAAAGGTTCTTTCTCAGACCCATCAGTCTGAGTGGTGAAGGATTTATGAATTTTCAAGGACAGCCTGGGCAAGCACTTGGCTAGGATTGTTTAGGTAGGGACAGTCCTTTGATTTTGCAGATGGTTAGACTAGACCAGCATTTCTCAACCCAAGGGTCACGACCCAAAAGTGGGTTTCAAGAATATATGAAAGGGCTGTGAACAAACTTTAAAAATGGATTCTCCTTTAATGGAGAAAAATGTGGGAAACCATGACTTTTCCCTTGCAGGCTAGCAGAGTTCCAGCTGCTTGTCCCCCTGGGGCTGGGACCTGGGGGTGGGGGGCAGCAGGTCAGAAGTGAGGGACACTGGGTCAGGGCTGTCCTTTGATGTTTACAAATGGGTCCTGGTACAAAAAAGATTGAAAACCACTGTACTAGATGACCTCATAAGGTCTCTTCCAGCCCTACTTTCCTATGATCCTATCACTCCTATAGACTATTAGAAGGGAATCATTAACAATGCCCAGTGACCCTAAGCTGTGGCGAGGGGGAGGGGGGCATCTTACAGGCAAGCCACAGTTTGGGGAGAACAGCTGGAGGCAGTGGTCCAAACTCCACCGAGTGGGATGGAGGCCTCCCAGGGTCTTTCTCAACAATTCCTGCTCTTGAAGTGACTCCCTTATGACCTGCTCTGGAAAGATGGAATTGGAGGGAATTTTCTCAGGATTGGTGGGTCTGAGTGATAATGAGTTCACGAATTTTTCAGGAACAGGTTGGGCAGGTACTTAGCTGATATAGTTTCATTAGGATGATCCTGCCTTGCACAGGGGGCTGGGTAGACAACATCATGAGGTCCCTTCCAGCCCTACTCTTTTATGACATCCATCAACCCCCTATGGACACCTCACAGGTCCTTGCCTATGCTCCAGCTGTTGGTCAAAGCAGGAGCCTTGGCCTCTCCCAGGCATCTCAGTGGCCATAACTAGCCATTACTACAAGCTCAACATAACTAGAAGAGCTCCTTTTTTTTTCCTCTTGCCAAAGGCCTCACAACTGAATACTTTCTCAGTCCTTGAAGTGAATATCATTATTATGCCTTTTGCTTAGACCTGAAGCATTAGAAGGCCAGGTAGATTTGCACCTTGTAGCCTAACCAAAGTAGATATATCTATAGCACAAGCCCACAGTGAATCATCCCTACAGAATGAAAATTGTGATCATGTACAAGGGGGTGGAAGAACCAGTGTCTGACATCACACTTGAGGGTAAATTTCTTGGCAACATTGACAGCTTTTGCTACTTGGGTTCTATATCAGCAAGAATCTTGACCTTCAGACGAAACTAACTAACAGAATCAGAAAAGCTGCTACAAAAGTCGGGTTATTACAGAAACGTGCATGGAATAACAACAAACTGTCAACTAAGGTGAAGATGCAAATCTGTGAGGCTTGCGTGCTGTCATCCCTGCTTTATGGTTCAGAAATATGGACTTTATATGCTAGGCACATTAGGAGACTGAACAGCTTCCACATGAGATGCTTGCTCAAGATCCTGAAAACAAAGTGTGAAGACAAAATGCCAAACAGGTGCTGGAGTGCACAGGACTGATGTACTCAGAAACCACTATCAAGAGGAGGTTGTGATGGCTTGGCCGCATCAGGAGAATGGAAGGAGATTGTATCCTCAAGAATATTTTATACAACGAGATTTGAGGCAGCCCTAGAAAGCAGAGTTGTCCTTGGTGGAACCACAACTTGTGCAAAAATTATATGAAGTTATTCAACATCAATGTAGAAAGCTGGGAGAAGTGTGCAGAATCCAATTCAATCTGGAGGGAACATCTGGCACCAGGCACAGCTCAACATTAAGTGGCTTTGAACCAGAAGAGGGAAACAAAATGAGAAAGAGGAAGCAGTGTGCTGGACACCAGCTCAGACAACACGTGGATCTGCGAAACTTGTAACAAGCTGTCACTCTTGATCTGGACTTGTCAGCCACAAGCAGATTCATCAGGCACCTGACTAGACCTCTTACGTGTACACCATGATCCAGAGGATTGACGGTTGCCCAGTATAGCACAAGCTCTTGTGAGCTGAAGTTCAAGGTACAAATCATACTCTGCCTTCTACCTGACTTCAGACTAACATGGCTAACTACATCTCATTATCTTTGTCTTGCACCTCTCTCTAGGTTGTAACATGCAGGCTGCATCTAAGTTTTTGCAGACCCTTTGTGCATAACCACTCTAAGGCATGGGCTTTCCCATCCATCCACAAAGCCCAGACTCTTGTCACCTCCCAATTCAGTTATTGCAGCATCCTACTCTCTGGGCTTGACCAATGCAAGCTTACTTCATTCTCCTCCATCCAGAATGCTGTTACAAAGACCTTGCCCCTTCCTTTGGTGAGTTCATTCCTTTCCAGATACCCTTCCACTGGCTCCCCTTTCTCTGTTACACCAATCATAAACTACTTGTCTCCACTTTCAAAGTCCTTCGCAGCCTGTCCACTAGGTTATCTAGTACACCCCCCCACCACCAGGTTCATCCCTGTCTAAACTGTTTCAGACCATTACTTTTTTAATCTGCTCTTAAAAACATCCAGGGATGGAGAGTCCATAGCCAAGATCTCTGGGTAGCCTGTTCCAGTGCTTGAGCACCTCATAGTGAAAAAGTTCTTCCCAGTCTCCAACCTAAATTTCCCTTGCTGTAACTTAGAACAGTTATTCCTTTTCCTGTCCCCTGTACGCATAGAGAATAGTCTGTCACCATCCTCTCTTATAATCACCCTTCAAGCATTGGAAGACTGTTATTAAGCACCTCCCACCCCTCAGTCTTCACTTCTACAGACTAAGTAAGCCCATTCTTTTATCTTCCATCATATGTCTCTTTTTTTCCTGGACCTCTAATCATTTTTGTCACTCTGCACTGGACTCTTGTCTAATATGTCCACATCTTCCTTGAAGTGCAGTGCCTGAAGTGGGACACACTACTCCAGGTGAGACTTCAATGCTACTGAATAGAGTGGAAAAATCACTTTCCTTGGCATCCTCAAAGCTAGCTTGTTAATTAAAACCTCTTTAAAAAAAATTTCTTTTCTGTGATGTCTACAAAACCCTTCATATCAGTTAGGCTGCCACTGTGCTGTGACTGGCCTTCCATGCTAGCCACTATTATCTTGCTGTTCCCTTGTGTTCCCCCTCATTATTGTATCCATCCCCTGATGATGTCTCTTGTCTTGTCAGCCCTTTGGGGCAGAGACTAAATTTTTGTTCTGTTTGGATAGCAGAGAGCCTCAGGGTATTTTGGTCCCTGACTAAGGCTCCTAGTTTCTATGATAGTACAGATAAATCATCATTCTAGAGACAGAAAAGAAGTGAGCAAGTTAAGGTAAAACAAAGAGAGATTCTCCCTCCTTTGCTTATCTCATAGACCTCTACAGGGGACAATTCTTAACCCATAAAAATAGCCACAATGAACTAGAGAAGAGAGAATGCAATTAAGTTGGTTGGAGCAAAAACACTGTAGGGTAGAACTAGATACTCCTATGTACCAAAGAAAGTGATTATGGAGGGTTCTCAGCATTGAAAGCTGCACTGAGGTCAGAGAAAGTGAAGGGGAAAGGGCCCTTCATTAGCAGCAAGGAGATTATTAACTACATGGTAGAAAATTATTCCCATGTTATTTCTAGGGAAATATACGGATATACAGCCACAAATATTATATTTTGAGCTGATTGGCAAGGAAAAAGGAATGTTTTAGATGGGGTAGTGGCTAGAGATGCTGTGAAAAGAATATTTAAAAAAAAACAGTGGACAGTGGTTTTAGAGGAGTAAGAAAAGTACTGGCAGTGCAAATGAATTATTGATGATAGGAATAGTAGAGGGCATAAGGGTGGGAAAACAGGACCAAACTAAGGGAAAACCTTACCTTATCATAAGAAAAAAAGGTACAGTGATGGACTAGGGTATGAGGGATAAACTAATTAGGGCAATGGGAGTGACAGAAGACGACAAATCACTCCTCAAACCTGGTGAGGAATGTCTTGCATTTGAAAGCTTCTCTAATTCTTTCCCAGGTATGCAGTTGGTCCAATAAAATATATCGCCCTAGGAAATCCTTGCCTCTCACATAATTCCTGGACCGTTGTGGCTACATCACTCTAACAGTACCATAAGAGTTTTCACTGGGAGCTGGAAACAAAGAAGTTATTGAAGTTTTGGATAGTGACTGCAAAAACATCACTTCATGGAACACAGAAGCCAGCAGCTGTGGGTGGGCAAGCGGGATACAAGTTCTGGATGCTGCCTAAGAGACATGCTAGAATGAAGGCAGGTGGACACCACACAGGGACACGGACACCCCCATGGCATTGGTGCTGGTGAGAGCCTCACTTCCAAGGGAAGCTGCTGCTGGGGGGATGAGGGATAGAGAAGGCAAGTGCAGCCAAGAGCCAGAGTGTTAACCCTCTCATCATCTTTTTTTAGCTGCCAAATTTTGGCTTTTAAATTGCCTCCCCATATACATTCTCGCAGCATTAACCCCTGCTGGAACAGCTTGTTCTGGGCACAGGCTATCAATCACACCTCTGACAGAAGCAGTGGTCTATTAAGGCACAGAATAACCTCCCCCAGGAAGTTGGACCACTAGAGAACATACTGTAGAAAATAATCCTGAACTGCACAAAGAAGGAAGTGAATAAACCACTAGTCTTTGCTGGCTACATTTTTATGGGCTCAGTTCAGCCCTAGAGAAAATGTAGCTACATTGAAAGGGGGCTTTAGAAAAGACTACATTTGTTTTAGGAATCTATGAGCAATTGTCACTACCCAGAATAATTTTCCTGCTCTAGATATTTGAGTGAGAAGGTGGCTTTCCTAAAGTGCTTCAAAACACTGTCCAGAAAAACTGTAATGAGGTCAAAACATATCCCCTTTGTGGCTTTGGTGGTATTAACAATTTAACTCCAGTGCAAAACATTCATCTCCAGAGCAAAACATTAATCTTGGGCATGGTTAGTCACTGGAGTCCCTCCTTAAGAACTGTTTGTTTAAGCCCTTTAGAGGAATTATTTTCTAACCCCTAGTTCTTTTGGAGTGGCTAGGTGTGAGTGGCTTGGAGCAGCTAGATGCTGGGAACACCTAGTTAACTTTTTGCCAACATGGCAGGGGGCCTTGATCTAGCATATGTTTTAGGAAATGGCCTGGGCATTACCCTTATCTGCCCACTTTACCTGTAGCAAGTTAATGGGGCTTTTGATGCTTCAGGATTATGCCTGCTGCTTGTGTGTGAGGCTTGTTCCCAAAGTTTTTTAAGAAGAAGTTAATCAGGGATGATCCTGCCTTGAGCAGTGGTTAAGACTAGATGACCTCCTGAGGTCCCTTCCAGCCCCATTTTTCTGATTCTATGATTTTTACGCCCTGCAATCTTATGCCACTATAGTAGCTCATAGAGGTTATTGCGGCAGTGGTCCTGTCTTTGGGGCTTCCTTATCCTGCTCTGTGAAACAAATCAGTATCTGCCAGTCCCAGAATAGGGGAAGCACAAGATATTTTTCCTGCTGTCTTTCAGCTGGCTTTTCTTCCATACAGGGATGTACTGGATCTTTTCTCTCCAGATTGGGATGCTTGTTTCTCTTATAGCTGGAGTGGAGCTAAGGGGCCATCTGAAGGATTGACCCAAGAAACTGCTTAGGATCTCATAGCAGGGTCAGTACCTGTTAATGGGGAGAGTTGATAGGAGAATGGTGCTGACCTTCACAATTCTGTTGTGGTATGAGTGACGTAAACTTCCTGAAAACTCCTGCTCATTAAAGCAGGGGATGGATTTTGGGAGACTGTAAAGTAGAGAGAGAGGCTGGCCTTATACTGTAATAGGGTCTACTCTTCATCTTATTTAATAGTTTGTCTTCACATTGATGTATGCTTGGGAATTTTGAACTGCTGTAGGGTAAAAGGACGAAGGGCAGACTTGTGAATTTTGGAACAAATGGCCATTTTGTCCTGACTTTTAGGTGATTCTGTTCTGACTGGCCTGACCTAAAAACCAGGCCAATGGCCAATATCCTCTTGCTCATTGATATTACAGAGACTTAAAGCCCCTCACATACAATGATGACCCTTATTCCCTCTCTTAACCAGTTCCCCTGTTGATTTTTTTTTCCCCAGCTTTCTTACTTATGTTGATCGGTAGTTATAATTTCAGGTGAAGGTAACAGATAGCTCTTTTTGGAATTTGGTAGGAGCAGGGAAATAGGATTATCAGGCCAAGACTAAACAAAGAGGGGGTGCAAAGCACCCTGTTCAAATTTGCTGATGACACCAAGATGTGGGGGGATGTGGGCACAAAAGAAGGGAGCAACAGACTACAGTCGGACCTTGACAGGTTACAAGGATGGGCGGAGGAGAACAGGATGGGGTTCAACACAGACAAGTGCAAGGTGATACACCTGGGGAGGAACAACCGGCACCATACCTACAGGCTGGGGAACTCCCCTCTTGTCAGCACGGAGGTGGAAAAGGATCTTGGAGTCATTATTGACTCCAAGATGAACATGGCTCAGCAGTGTGGGGAGGCGGCTAGGAAGGCCAACTGTACCTTGTTGTGCATCCACAGATGCATTTCAAGCAGGACCAAGGAGGTGATCCTCCCCCTCTATGCGGCACTGGTCAGGCTGCAGCTGGAGTACTGCGTCCAGTTCTGGGAGCCGCACTTTAGAGGGATGTGGACAGCATCGAGAGGGTCCAGAGGAGGGCCACTCGCATGATCAAGGGACAGCAGGGCAGGTCCTATGAGGAAAGGTTATGGGACCTGAACCTGTTCAGCCTCCAGAAGAGAAGGCTGAGGGGGGATCTCGTGGCCTGCTATAAACTAGTCAGGGGGGATCAACAGGCACTGGGGGAGTCCCTGTTCCCCCGAGCGCCGCCAGGAGTGACCAGGAATAACGGTCACAAGCTGGCGGAGGGGAGGGTTAAGTTGGGCATCCGGAGGCGCTACTTCACGGTCAGGGCAGCTAGGGTCTGGAACCAGCTTCCAAGTGAGGTGGTGCAGGCTCCCACCCTGGGGGTTTTTAAGAGGAGGTTAGATGACCATCTTGCGGGGGTCGTTTGCCCCCCAGTACTCTTTCCTGCCATGGCAGGGGGTCAGACTAGATGATCTGCCCAGGTCCCGAGTGCCTTGGCCCAGATGTTCTGCAACGATGGATCTCACTTCCAGAAGAATTACACGCTGGTGAGCTTTGTAGAATGACACACCAGGGATGGGGATAGGAACTGAGAGGGGACTGCAGGCACAAGCTGTCATTCAGTTACCTCTCTAAAAATTAATGAGAAAAGAATATGAAACTACAGGAGGGAATGAACAGTTGCATTAGGCTGATTTTTCACTGTTGGCAGATCTTTAGGTTGATGCATTCAAGGAGGTGGCTTACAGAGATCTCTCTCTCTCATACAGCAGGCTACAAATAAACTGAGAAGAAGATTTCCCATTTCATAGGGAGTTGACTTCAAATTTTACTGCAGAGGGTTTTGATCAGTTTCCTGCTGTATCAAAATCTTCACAGGCTTCTGTGGTCTTAGACATTCTCCCTCTGCAGGGAACTCTGTATGAAAATGGTTTGTTGCTAGAAAAACTGTTTATTCCAGTAAGTATTGGGCTCTTGGCTCTACAAATATGAAGATATGCTCCACTGCCCCAAGGTAATTAGAATCTGTAGAAATGATTCCAGGAGGAAAGGGATGCAGTTTGTGGCTCTTGCATTTATAATACAATAGGAAAGCAAGAGAAAAATCCTGGTATGCATCATACATTGAGAATAAAGGAGAATAAAGATAGTAAAACAATAGGAAGGAGAGAATGTGATCAATGATGGAAGAGGCATAAAAAGAGGATCCCAAATTGCCATATGCTTGCTGCAGCATGGCACCAGGGAAGTATCATAATTGGTGGAGAGGCTTGGGGGACGTAGTTTGGAGCAATTGGAGAGGTGTTAATGAATCTAGACCCAGCTCTAGATTTGCAGATGTCAGCCAGTATCCTGGTTAGCAAGCTGATCTATGGAGCCTAGTTCTTTTCTGTCCATTTTCCCACATGAGCAAGTCTCCAAGGGCTTGCTTAGTGCTCCCTTGCCTGCAAGAGCATGTTACCAGGACTTTGGGAAATAGTAAGGTGGCTGTCCACAGTCTCAGTGTCTTGATATTTGGGTTATCTAGTGCAGCCCGGTATGTCATGTGCAAATGAATGGGCCACTGGAAGATTTTCTGAACCATGTTTTCCTGGTTCTTCTTGACAGACAACGGGCGTGGAGATATTGGTGAAGAATGTAGCTATTCCGGAGACAAACAATATCGTGGTGAGTCCTGCTGTGACACAAAGGGCTTGGAGATGTGAAGAGCTCCAAGCCCATCTATTATTTGAATGTCTGAGCTCATACCATTGCATGAGCTCTCCAGATGTTCACAGGGATGTTAAGTTGCCTTAGGAAACCTGATGTCAATCCTGCACCATATCTGATTCTCCAGTGCATTTTATTTTTAAAACACAAATGTTTGCGTACTCGAATACCATATGCCTTCTTAAACTGCAGCTTTTGCCAGCCTAGTTAGGGCTCTGCACGCTCATTTAGAATATCCAGGGCTAGTTCCCCTTTCCTACAACTATCGTGGCTGGGCTCTATCCAGTCCCCGAGGCTTTAGTGCTCTGCACTGCCATTAGCTCTATGTATATTTTGGTTAGTTTTTTATCCGACAGATGTCCTTTAAGTTGGAGCAAAGTCCAGGCCTGATGCCTTGGAGGGCATCTCTCACCATTGATTATGCAGGAAATCCTGCTCCTTTTGACTTGCTCTCTGAGCAAGGTGCACTGTGAGTGCTGTGTGCTTAGCTCCTAGGGGCATGGTGCTGCCTTACCATAACTGCTGTTGAGCTAGAAGCAAGAAAAACAGGTTTCAGGATTTACCCTTTAAATTCCTCCTCGCATGACAGTTTCCATGAGGGGAAAAAAATTCTTTCTTCTCCTCTTTTCAGGAACTCTTCATTTTTGATTCAGCAGGCAAGGAATTATTTTCCGAGGTGCTGGAGAAACTGGTAAGGATCATATCTCAGTCTTCTTGATTGTAGAGAAATGCTATTCTTCTGAAGAGGAGCTGAGATCCCCAGTCTGGATGTAGCAAGCTTTGGCCTTTGTATAAAGGCTGCCTGAAATCCCCATCTCTTTTTCTATCTGAAACTTGAAACAGCTCTAGAGGGACTCTTTTCCAAGAAAAGGAAGGTGGCATGATGGAGGAAGCTTCCCGTGGGAATACTGAACTGAGGTTGTGATGCAAGTGCTTTGAGACTTTTTTACTTTTAGGGGAACATCCATTTGGCTCCTCCTAGTACAGGAGATTTTCCCTTCAGCCTGATCTTCCTGTTCCACAGAGACTCCTCCTGATGGGATGCAGCACTCTACTCGATTTTCCTCGGATTCCAGAAAATATGCCCCTGTTTCTCCCTCCTTCAAGAATCTCTCAATCTCTCCAATTGTAGTTTCTCATTTTGGGGGTTGGGATCATTTAATTGAGTGTAGGGTCCCTTTATATTAGCGTCCTTTTAGTTCTGTCTTGGGTTCTATGTTCTTCATAAAGGTGCTTCTTCTTCTTTCCCTTCCCCATTCCTAGGGATTTGTTAACTGTTGACCGCATCAGGTTTCAGTAGAGTTGACAATGTTTCTCCGTTGCTCTGCAGTGGGAGCATCCCAATGTTCTTTGTGTTGTGTATGATGTGACCAGTGAACAGTCTTTCAACAACTGTGCCAAATGGTTGGAAAAGCTGAGGGCACAGGCACTTGGAATGAACCTTCCAGGTAGGAGACAGAGATTTTTTGCACCTCTTCTAATATTTTTGTCATGCTGCCATTTCCTACTGAGATAGGGCATATACAGCATTATTTTCAATCCAAGCCAGGCCTGGCTACCTTCCATTGCCTGCTTTACCTGGAGACTGGAGGAGTTGAAGTTAATATTCTAGGTCAGAGGTGGCCAATGTGTGGCACAGGTGCCACAAATAGCACAGACAGCCTGTGTGTGTGATATGGCAGGTTTTGGAGGTAACAGGCAGCACAACAGCAGCCAGGGCAGGGAGCAGAAATCAGAGCAACAGATCAGACAGGGAGCCTAGGTCAGGAACCAGAAAGCAGAGCAGCAGGTTGGGCAGAGGATAGGGATTGGAGTGGCACTCAAGGAAGGTGCATAGCTAATTTGTGGCAAGCCTGCCATAGAGGTTGATCTTCACTGTTCTGGGTGACGCTCTAACTGTCCTTCTAGTTAGCATTTTCTACATAACATATCAATCCAGTTATTTTTCCTCTCTACTTTCTAGCATATCCACCATCTTTCATAGCATTTGTTGCTATCAGCTCAACCTTTCCTCCCTCTCATTTTGTTCTGTAGGTGTGTTGGTAGGGAATAAAACAGACCTTATTGGTCGTCGAGTTGTGGAACAGAAACAGGCACAGGAGTGGGCTCAGAACCATGGCTTGGAATACTGTGAGACGTCAGTGGTGAGCATGTTCTCCTTTCTATGTCTGTGGAAGTGGGTGTTTTTGTGGTGTTATCTTCTTTTAGTGAGGGGAGATAATAAAGGGTTCTGGTACCATCATTTACAGTTTATCTCACGTCTGGTATAAATCTGTTTTTTGTGAAGCAATTAGAGTAGAAACAGTTGAGTCCTTTCTCCATCTGTCTTTCATAACCTCTCTTATCTCTTTACAGAAGGAGATGGAAAACTTTGAAGCCCCTTTCCACATCCTGGCAAACTCATTCCATCGACTATACCAAGAGAAGGTGGAAAGCTTTCACTCACTAGTGTGAGGTCTTTGCATATAACAACTTGCTTAGCCCCTATGGGGCCTCTTCGAACAGAAGAAACCCTGGTTGCACAGAATCCCACAGACTGAAAAACAGGAGAAAATTTTTTTTTTTCTTGTGATGATCTGATGATTCAAGTTAAACCAAAAATAAACATGTGGAACGGCAGCTTTTCCAGGGATTCTTTTCTCAGGTTTCTTCCTCTGTTATGTCCCCTTCTCTGGGTTTGGGTTGTGTGTGTGGCAGGGATGGAATACAGCCTAGAAATGTTTGGCTTCCTGCTTTGTTATTTCCCTGTTTCTTATCTGAATGGCTTTTCTGCTGCTAAAACCAAGGGTCTGGTGGTTTCAGGAAGGAGTCAGGAAGCTACTGGGGGATTTGCACATTAAATAGTTCACTACTGATACATGTATTGGAGGAAGGATTGATGTAGGCCATCCACTTGGAAAACACGTGGCTGGAATAGACTTGAGGCCCAGAGTCTTCTGAGAAGTGCCCAAAACTGATGGCAAGAAGTCTGTCCTATGCAGAGACCAATTTTGAATTGGATATAGTTCTGAGAAATGATGCTGTCGGATTCCTCACCTTGCACCAAGTTGTTTCTAACTAATGTCTGGTTTTGACTTCTCAGAGTCTAGTTTTTACACCAATTTGGCTTTTTTCCTCTGCCTGTTAAAACTGTCTGGCTGCCAAGAGCTTTTCTGCTGTACCTCTGTACTTCTTGTAACACAGTGCCCTCTGCTGGTCCCAGGTCGCACACTTTCCTCAAAAGCTGCAACTGGTGTAGTAAGAGACTCTCTCTCTCTCATGGTATGCATTTGAGAATTATGCCCTTACCATCTCTCCCCACATTCCAAATAAAATCCTCTTTATTTTGTCCTTACATTTTCACAAAAATCATTTCTTCTTCTCCCTGACTTGGGTTTGTTGGGAAATTTTTTGTGGTTGTTATTTTACATTGCTGACTACAGTTAGTCCCTTCTTCACCATGTCCAGTTTTCTAGTCCCCTGGTAAAGTCAGAACCTCACTTTTTCATTTTTCATCATTCATTCTTCATTCCTTAGCTAACTGCACGGTTCTGCTTTCATTTATAGGACACGACATGGGAGGAGAAAGAGGCCACCTGGCTTTAAGTTATTCTGTGTCAGCAGAGGGAATTGTTTGGTGTGGGGAAGGGCAGCGTCTTCAAGTAGCATTCGCCTTCTATTTAGCACAATGCCGATTTTAGCACATGTGAAAATCCACTCACATCTCCAGTGCAAGGAGATGCTGTGAAGTTGGGCAAAACATCTGTATAGTTCAAGGTAGGATGCAGCACTTCTGTTCCAATTGCAGATGCTCTCCCCTATTCACAAGGTCACAGCAACCTTCCTCAACAAAGGGGAGTTTTCTGGAGTTTCTTAAGCACTGAGTCATTTCTCTCAGGCAACCCTTTTGGGAACCTGTGCTCTTAGGTTGTTATACGTGCCCATTGCTGGGAAAAGTGTGTTGAATGTAATGCATCTAAGTAGAATATGTGGTGATAGGTCCAAGCCACCTCCAGTACTGTGAATAAAGCATACTTATTTTTTATGCTGTTTTGTTTTGGTTAAAGAGCTTTAAAGCTAAACTCTTGTTTTGATTAGCTGGCTTATCCTATAGTTCTACTAGTGATGTGCTTATGTTGCAGGATGCATCTTTTCATATTTGAAATATTATGACAGCTGTCTTTACCACCTGTGATGTTGATATATGGAAGATTAATACTTTGGGCATGGGAAAATAAAGGGAAAGCCATGTGATCTTTAACTAGGGGTTTCTATCTGCACCAGAAAGACGTGCCATAGCTTTTAATAAGCACCAAGAAGATGGAGATGGGTGAATGTTGTTCATTAAGTGAAGGCAAAAGCTGGAGTGTCTCATTAGAGGAATGCTTGCAGTGGTGATCAGTGATTTATAGGGTAGCTGTTGTCGAGGGGTTAGTGAAGAAAAATGCAGCCCAGGCAGGGAAAGATATATTGGCTGAGTGATGAAATGTGTAATCTAATTAGCTAGCAGTAGGGATTCACCCACTGCCCCTTTTCTTCTTCCAACAGACTAGAATAAGAAAACAGGTTGTATTAAAACCTACTGCTTATCTTATTCATACACACATTTTTAATCACAAATGTAGATATAATTTAATATCTTGAAAAACATTACCTACTGCAGATCAAATCTAAGCTCTTCCTGTGCCACAATATTTTAAAGGCATTACACACTGTCTGCTCAACTTTGTTAAAATGTGTGAGTTTACATGTTTTTAAAGGTAACCTATTTTCCTAATCTACTCATGGACCTACTTGTGAGGTTGATAGACAGGTGTGGATGGGGAGTCACAGAGCTATGTGGGTGTTGGGTTTGTTGGGGCAGGCTGTGGGACCCAGGTTTTGTCTGTGGGGGAGCTTGGGTAGGTAGGTGAGTGAATGGGAAGGGCCTAGGGCCAGTATTAGATTCCCTTTTCTTGTGTCCCCTCAACTGCTAGCACCTCATTCCCATGGGTTTTGTTCTTTGCAGCTTATTGCTGTTGCATCTCCCTGGCTCATGGCCAGTGGAGAAAGCAGTAAGAGGGCAGCAGAAAGGATGCATGCTGAGGAAGATACGCACTTCTTCCCTGCTTCATCCAACTGTACATTTTCCAGGATAAATGTGTCTAAACCCAGAACAGCCTCAAGCCAAGCTCGGACAGCTGGAAATTCTGCAAGGCAAAACACAGTCCTTAACTTACCAAGTTAATGGCACATAGTTAATCAGTTACCCTTCCCTACTTACTCGTATGTCAGTTAAAGACAGCATTTTTTTTCCTCTGAACTGCTACTGGCTTTCCACTGGCTCCTTTATTATAATCCTGCTTCAGAGAGATGCTGGGGTTAGCTCCTTTCCTTTGCCCCCTTATTTGGGTATGGCAAGCTGTTTTTATTACATCTTGTACATCCCCCATTAACTGCACCAAAATACTGACTGCCATTGCCTTAGCAAAAGCAGTGAAAGAAAACAAATTTGGATTTTTTTAAAACCAAAATGTTGTGAATACCTTCATCAAAAAAGAGTTGGGAAAAAAATTCAAAAGTGAACCTCCTGTAACATTTCAAAACACTGTAACATTAAGGCTAATGTAATGATTTTTACTGGCTGTCCCCCCCCAAAAAATTGACTGGGATGAGATACAACATGTAAAATTTCAGAAAGATCAGCTTCTCTTACGGAAGCTAGTGCAAGTTCAGAAAGTGATCTCTCCAGAAGCTAATCTTTAAGCTTGACAAAAGAATGGTCACTTCTCTTCCATAAGATAAAGAGTTAAACACCATGAAATGGGGATGTCAGAACAGTTTCTGCAAGAGATTAGTTATTTTAGAGTCTTAACGGTTCAGAAAGGACATCTTGTGGATAACTGATCTCAAATGAATGCTGCCTGGCCCACATTCATCCCGGTATAACTTCACTGGCTTCAAGGGATGGATTTGGTCTTTTATGTCTACTGAATCCTTTGGCAAGGACAGGATCGACTCTGTAACAGAAGGCATATGATACTCAAAACAAGATGACTTGGGGAAGAGGTATTGTAGAAAGCATGAAAAAGGGTTAAGCCCTAACGTGGCAATTAAGCAGAGAGCTGAACAGAGCAACTGCAAAAAACCTACAATTCATCCCAATTAAGAACTTTCAAGAGGAAGGAGCCTGAGAGATGCTGAGAGCAAGGAAAACACAGCATTTCTATTTTATATGCATCTAATGTTTTCTGTTGGTGCTTGTGCATATCCACAAGGGTCTATGCTGTTCTCTGCTCAGGGCTGAGAGTTGTGCTTTTGGCAGGCATCACACTTAAGTGGGAACTGCTTCCAGTTGCTGTCCCGCTTTCCTATCCTGTGTGCAGACCTCCAAAGTGATGAGAGACCGTGGCTGATAGCTGTGAGACATTTTTCATTCCTGCCACTTATTGCCAGGAGACTCCTCCCCACCTCTCAGTTTGACCTCTCCTATCCTGACTGGTATCTATTTCCTCATCCCTTTCTCTTAATGGAGAGCTGCCAACTATGCCTATTCTTATCAAGTAATTTTCCAGTTAGCAGAGTGGCCTCTAGGCTCACCAAGCCTGAAGATGTGGTATTGTGTACAAAGGAAGGAACCTTCAAAACTGAGGTGAAGGGCTGACTAGGAGCTCTTTGACAGGGGGCACATCCTCCCTCTGTTTCTGGAGAGACTCATCTTCCTCCTCTTTCTGTATTCCGTGTCCTCCTCCTATTGCCATTTTGCCTTGAGAGTCCTGTCCTCTTTGCCATGTGCCCATGGCCCTGCTGACCCAGAACAACAACATTTTGGGTAAAGGCAGGAATGGGGGATGGATGCAGCTCAGTTATGGTTATAATTTCTGAATCCCCACCAGGAGCTGCCCTTGTGGGGTCAGTGGGTCCTGACTCCCAGCCAAGCTGCTCTGCAAGGTTAAGGATATCACTCAGTCCAAGATGCATTTCCCTTCCAGGATGGCCCCTGGCTGAGCCCTGGCAGCTTAGTCCTGGCTCCCCCAAGGATGCTGCAATGTAACTTTCACAGACACTGATTGTTTTCATTTGGACTTGGAGTTATTTTTCCCCTTAGAGTTTCTCTCATTCTTCTGTCACTGCCTCACATATCTCCTCCCCAGGAGCACTTTCTCAGAGAAGCCTAGAATCGCTCTATCCATAGTCTCTGAGATCAGATCCAAATCCAGCAATGCTTATAGGGGAAATGTGACAGACCCTGAGTGTCACACAGGGGTCAGGCGCAGGGTCGATTTGATGAGATCCCCTCTAGCCACACATGCATTGACTTGAGAAATGTGGAGCTTGTAATCTCTCTGTATATGTACTGGAAAAAATATGCAATTTTTCAGTGCCAGCAAGGGGCAGTCAGCAGAGGAGATATGCAGAGGATCGATCAAATTCTGTGACCAAAAACAGGGGAATCACAGGAACAGATGGGGAAGAGGATTATGAAGGGGAGAATAGGTCTCTGTCTCACTAAGGGCAGGAAGGACAATAGGTTGGTGGAGGTTACATGGTGAAAATCAAATAGTAGTTCCAGCTCCTGGAGTCTACTACAGAGAACAGAACAGAAGAGACAGTGGGGAAAGATCAGTCTCTCTCCTGGCCAAGAGGGAATGCTACAGGGGACAGAATAGAGAGGCATGATACCCCCAGCGCAGTTGATAATAGAATCAGGTTCTGTGTGGGCACATTAATAACTGGGGTGTCTGAGGGGCAAGGGCCAGTGTGAGAGCTGTGAGGAAAGAGGTGAAGGTGGTAATGATGTTTTTGAGCTTGTATCAGTGCCAGAATTGGAGCAAGGTCTGTCCAAGATGAGGTCAGCGTGAGGATGCTGAGGCTGTGTGTTCAGTGGAGAACAGATTTTATGCGCTGGACTATAGTGTGGGTCTGAGATGATAAGGCTAGTCATTGTGGGGCACATTGGAATTGCAAACTCCAATGTTGGAATTCCAGGTGAGAGAGTAGAACATAGAGAATGGGACCAGCATAGGATGCTGAGGCCTGGGGCATGAATTGTTAGGTGTGCGGATGTATAGACTGTAGACATTGTTGGAGTGTAAGGATAGAAATCAATATAGGTGTGCTGGGGAATTGGATTGAACTGAAACCTTGTTACACAGCCTACAAGGCCCCTGCATAGAGCTGAGTAGATGCCTAAATTATTTTCCACAAATCGCTGTGAATTAAATATGAGTGATCTCTGTCCAAATCAGCAGTAAGTATATCTTCTCTCCGTGAAGAGTTGAGTGATCCAGTTGTGTAAACTTTCATGAAAAATGAAGCACAAACTCGCATGTTCATTTGCCCCAGCAACCCAGATATGAGGGTCACACTCAACTTTCCATGAAACAGAAACATAACCATATGATGGGTGTGACCAATCACAACCAAACATTAAAATATGCATCTGGGGTATTGAACATGCAGAGCAAAATCTGTTCACAATCAATCCATATGACAGAACTCCACAAAACTATTGGCATGCAAATTTATGAAAATTGCAATCTGTGTGCAGATATTGTGCAAATGGGAAAAAATGGACAAATTCACTGCAGACATTATTTGTAGTAAATAATTTACTCAGTTCTGCTGCAAAAGGCCTTTTCTGTATTTACTTCTGTTTCTTATCCCTATTGTGAAACCTGTTAGTCATCACTGAGTCTTCTTTTGGTATTTCAAACCATGTAGAAATACTGTGAGCTGTTGCTAGGACTTATTTTTGTGGTGCTGGGTGGGTTCAGCCTTGGATTTGGAAGCTAGGATTATTAGTGCTTAGGAAGGTCTATCTGGACAGAGCCAGGCCTAAGTCAGCTGATGGGGATGTGAGAACATAGAATCTGGAGGAGATGAGCTTGGGGTGTCAAAACAGTGGGTTTCAGGGCAAGTGTCAGGCTGAAGATATTTAGGCTGGGATTTGTGTGAAAATGTTGGGGTTGGGGAAAATTGATAAGATACTTGTATTAGAGACATGATCCCTGTCACAGGACCTGGCTTCTGAGGCCTGCTGTGGTGCTCCCACTTGTCCTGCTTGCTCCCCTCTGGCCTCTCAGGGCAGCCCCCTGCTATCCTGCCTACCACACCTTGATGGTGTAATTGGAGAGACTGCCCTCAGAGAGCAACATGAGCTTTCTGGATACAGCCTCTCTCCCTGTGGGGCTCCCACCCTTCTGGAACACTATACTGGGCTATTGGCCCTTCCTCCCTTGCACTGGACCCTCCAGGTCCTAATCCCCTTACAGGGCTTTTAATTGTGGCCTCTAGCTGCACCTGTAGCCACATCCATGCTTCACAGGTCTTACTCTATTCTCTGCACTGAGCCCTCTGGCTCTCTACTGGTCTCAGCTCTCTGAGTCCCTGACTTGGCAGGCTGTTATCTTCTGCCTATAAAACGCTTGGCCTAGTCCATGCAGCCCACTGGGTCTCAGACCCTTTTCTACCCAAGCACTGGGCCCCTGGTCCTGTCTCAGCTTCAGCCCATGCAGCCCAATTGGTCCCGAACCTTTGTAGGGCTCTATCTGGGCTTCAGTCCATCATGACATAAAGTGCCTACCCATGGCCCCCAAAACCACCCCATCAGCCATACTGAAACCTCTGGTTTCTTGAGTCTCTACCCAGCAACTTCCAGTCCTCTGCCCACTAGCTTTCTCCAACTTCCCCAGATACCTGGAGTGACTGGGTCCCCTGCTTTCACAGCCTAGGCTCTCAGGAGTTCTTCCCTCCCTGAAGCTCAGGGCCAGACTACCTCCTTTAGCTCTGGAGCTAGGCTTAAAGTAGAGTAGGGCTTCACCCCTTCCAATCACATGACCTCTGACTGACCATAGAGTTTCTGCTTAGCCTATTATTTCACCTCCTCTATTCTACTGCCTTCTTCCCAGCTGTCTTTTATTTGCTGCGTAGCTTCCAGTCAGATTACAGCACTACCTCTGTAGCTTATTGCAGGGCATCTCACCCCAGTAATGAACAATGGGGCTGAGTGAAGTGTGCAGCTGGAAGAGAGAGGGTACTGCTGGGATTCACCAATGAGCCCTTAAACCAGTGGGTTTTACCCTTGTTAAACTCCAGGCACTCCTCAAAATTCCCAGCTTTTAGCCTTCATTTATTTCTTAACTATGGAAAAATACTAGAGCAATTGTTCTGTTGCAAAGAGCTCAGAAAGACCACAGCAGGTCAGAATGTTTTTGACACCATGGATTCCTATTTGAAACCTCTGGGTTTATCTTGTAAATAATGCGTAGGTGTCTGTACACCTAACTGGGTTAGTATTGCACAGTACCCTGCAACACCCTCGAAAGGATTGCATTGCACCCTAACAGAATCAGTGTCCTAAATTAAGAGCTCTTTCCATCTACTGTGGTCTCTCTGCTTACTGAGACATCAGAGTCTCTGGGGCAAGCATTGAGTCATTGTTCCTGCTGTGGCTTGATGGCCTGTTTCCAAAGTTGACTAGTGTTGTGGCTTTTACTCTTCACAGAGAGGAGAAACTGCTAAGCAGAAGTGACCTGGTCTTACAGGAGAAATGGGGCAGAGCACATGCCTGAGAAGAACCTCCTGGACTTCAGGAAACTGTATGTGCCCCATCTACCATACCTACCTTCCACTGAGGGAATCCTTCCAACCTCTCAACACTGTGTGTTTACAACCAGTGCCCTTACCACTGCCTTAGTTTTGCCTGTGTCACCCATTAACCTTTCTGCCTTTGAATGTCCTTCACATACCATTGATATGCTACCTCTGTTATGCCCCCCTTGAAAATACCTTCTGAGCCATCCATCCACGTATCTCCTTGAGAGAGCTTTTACCCAATCTTATGCGCACATTTCTGGGGTCTGAAGTCATAAATATGGCTGTGACACAGATTCCTGCCATGCTCTACTCCATGTGGTGTCCTGTGCAGAGCTCAGGCATTGCTTGACTTTCTGGGGTCAAGGTTGATATTGGGGTGTCAGGGCAGTGCTGCAGCTGTGTGTCTCTGTGTAAGTGAGGGCATCCCAGGCAGGCACCCCTTTGTCCCCCTATCAGACTTCACTCATTTATTCTACCATCTGTTTTCCCAGTGCTGGAGATGATGCTGGGGATATGTGACTTGGGGCACTCAGGCGGAAACTGGCCTGCACAAGGCCGGCCATGTGTTTGCCTCCTAGCAATGCAGCGGTCAGCAGCAAATTCTTTGCCGCCGCTGCCTCCTCTCAGTATGGAAGAGAGAGAGAGAGCATGGGACTGGGTGTGTAGGAGACAGAGATGAACTGTGTGAAGGAGGGAGAGAGACAGAGAGATGGACTGGTCTGTGCAAGAGGGATAGAGAAATGTGAAGGAGGGACAGACAGATGGTCAGTGTGTGGGTGAGAGAAAGGGACTGTGATGGAGAGACAGACAGATGGACTGCATGTAACAGACAAAGGAATGGAGTGGGAAAGGTGGAGAAAGAGATTGGGTGAAGGAGGGAGAGGCAGATCTGGCTGTTGTAGATGGGAGAGAGAAATGGGTATATGGAGAAGAGGTGTCACCTAGACCCTGGGACAATGGGTCCATTAGAAATGCCTTTGCGGAATGGATATAGAGAGATTGTGTGTATGTGTGTGCAAGAAGATGGTCTATGTAAATAAGAGTAAGGAAGAGCAGCTATAAGGAGACGGAGAGAGAGGGAGGAGGGTCTGTACGGAGGAGAAAGTGAACAAGGGCAGACAGATGAGCTGTGCGAAAGGGAGAAAGAGACAAATATGGAGAGGAAGGCACCTGTCTGTATGTGAGGGAGATGGCATCTCTGACCAGCTGTTGTGGGCACCTGTGACTGTTTACAGGATGGGTTATATATAAGAACAAAAAGGACTAATTGTGTGCTAGGCAGGCCATTAGGGTGCCCAGACCCAAGCATACCAACATCCCTTTCACTTTTCCCCACTATTGGGGTTCAGGAGGTGAGCATTACACTGCAACCTGTCGAATAATTGTTTCCAGTGAACCTGATGGACTGTTTGAAAAAGTTTGAAATGACAGAGCTGTTGTTAATTGCTCTGCTGGATTTTTGTCTTAATCCCTGTCCTCCTAGGTTGAATTCTGAAGGTACCCCACCTTTTTTCTCCGCCATATTGAAGCTGTTGGCTACCAAGAACTGTTGGCTCTTTCTTTGCCTGTTCTCTTAGTCATCATCTTCCCCTTTGTCTACCTAACATTTCCTCTCTTCTGTTATTCTCCCTCATTTCTTTCCTTTTTCCTCTTCTATCTTTTCTCACTCTCTTGTCTTTCTCTTCCTTTTCTCTCTCTCAGTTCTTACATTTTTAGATCTTTCTCTGGATCTCTCAAATTCCCTGTAGCTTCTTCTCCTTTCCTTCCTTCACTGTTCCACTCTCCCAGGTTATAGATCTTTCTCTCCTTGTTTCAGATTACTGGTTCTGTTTCTTCTATTTAGCTCTTTTTTATCTCTCCTTAGCTCCTCTATCTCATTCTCTCTCTGACTGTCTGCCTCCTTTCTCTCACTCTCTGTCTGTCTCTCTCAAACTGGGTTGTGAATTCTATCAGCATCAGAGCAGGACAAACTGTAAAAGTGAAGTTCCCTGAGGGCCAGGTTGTGATCATTTTATTTTTACAATGTCCTTGGATGTATAAAGGTGTTTGTTTGAGGGGGAGGGGTAGCGTATGTGCTCCGTGGGGGAAGAGAGGGGAGTGCAGGCCAGAACAAATGGAGCTTAAAACTAATATAGGTCAGTTGCAGAGAAGAGTCCCAATGGTCTGTGAATAAGAGGAGTGGCTTGTTGCTTTGGGCTGGATACAGGAAAAATGGCAGCTGAATAGTTTTACCTGAATGACGTAGGCATCAGACCCACAAGCACATATGACCAGGGAAGCACAGCATTTATCTTCCAGGAACACAACCAGGAGCGAGCGCGTGTTGAGACTGCAGCTCAGCAGTTGACTGCACCATCTCCCAGGCATCTGCCCAGCTTGGGGAGTCTGTGGGTGCTCTCTGCACTCCTGGGCAGGCAGTTCTAATCCAGCTTCTCCTGTGTGGCTCTACATCCTATGCCCTAAATACGGAAGTCAGGGCCAGTGCTGGCAAACACATCTCTGATGCACTTTGCTGTGTCTGTTTGTTGTCTCCAAGGAAATGTCTTCAAGCGAACAACAAGCAAATTAAGCCAGTTAGTGAAGCTCAGAGATGAAAAGCCGCTGCCCCCATGTTTGACACCAACATACTAGGTAGGAGTTAGGTTCAACCTGCCCTCTACTGGATGAACTCAGAACCTTACACCCATGTGTCAGACCAGAACGGCCAAGGGAGATTCTCCTGTAGCTCAAGTGAGTGAGGGCTGTGCTTCTCGGTCAGGAGAGGAGCTGAGTGCTGTCCCAGGTGACGCTCTAAGATCCTGAGTTGTCACGATGCACAGCACAGTGACAGCTGTGAAGTCTGAAGTGGCCACAGCTTTGCCACTGTGTGCATGTGAAAAGGGGCCAGACGGCTCCCAGGAAATACATAAGGCCTCATTAATGCACATCATTTGAGTTTATGGCAGATGATTGATGCTAATAACAGTTGATTACATACCCAAAGCACAGCCTCTGGACTCCCTGCTTCATTTCTATAAAGACTTTAAAAGATAGGAACTTCAATTCAGATTCTTCATTAGGCACCTCAGTATGTAGCCAGACGTTCAGAAGTGCTGAGCACCTGTACTTGTCAGTGAAGTTAGTAGGAGCTGCGGGCTGCTCAGCACAATTTAAAATCAGGACACTTAAATGAGTACCTAAATATGGAATTAAGAGCTTACATGTAAGCATCCCATTTGCTTAAAAACCTTGGCCTGTCTTTTAAGGTAGTCATAACCAAATGATGATTTCTAGCCAATGTAGATTCTTGTACCATGCCCATCACCATAGTTTCTGAGCACTACTGTAGTTTCTGACATGCTTAGTCTGACACATGTACAGATATCCTCCATATCAGGGGGGCTCAATAGTATCACCTGTTGTGTCACCTGGCCTAGAAGGCTCCCCGCAAGCCCAAAAATTTGGCAGTGGGGGAATGGTGGCCACTCCCCTGCTGCCAAATTTCCAAAATCATGGGGAGCCCTGTGGACCAAATAATGTGTGCTAGATCAAGTATGCAGAATGGGGCAGGTAGTATGGGGCCCCATCCTGGGAATGTGGGGCCCAATCTGGCCAGCAGAGCAGCCCTATGCGACTCATCTGGCCTGCAGGGCCAAAAGGTTGTGTCCTATATGAATTCACTTCAAGGTTCGTAAAACTTGCAATAAAAAAACTGTGTCCAGGATTTTCTACAACATCTATGTACCCACTGCTATGCTAGCTGGCTCTCTTTAAAACAGTACCTCTAAGTTCCTGTTTTATACTACAGTTTGCTTGCCTTGCAGTGAGATCCTGCCCTCACTGAAGTCAAAGGCAAAACTCGCCAGTCCTGCAGTGGCCCATGGTTTCACCGGGAATGTATGGAGTATTTGTGTTTGATCCTTCTGAGCTACTGTACTCCCAAAGATCCTAAAGAGTCTTTGAGTTGCATATTTCTCTCAATATGTTTCTCTGCAAAGTCAGACGCATACTTGCTAATGCATTCCAGAGGGTCAACTTTCCCTTAGGATCTTGCACTGTGATCTCATTTTGCTTATAACATGTCTTTGATTTCGTTTCCCTCCACCTCTCTGACTTGTGCAGCTGGACAGTAGAGAAATGAAAGGATTATGCTTCTGGTATCCTAAGCTGTCTGGTCTCTTGCAAAAGAAGGGTTTTAAATGCCCCAATGGAAAGAGGGGAGAATGGGGGTGATCTGCAGTTAAGGTACCTGCCTGACTCCCAGTGGCACAGAGAAAGTTAGTCTCTTCCATACAGGGGTCAGAGGGTGAAGCTGCTGTGGCTGCTGCTGGCCAGATGGAGGGAGCTTGTGTTAATGACAGAGTGTGACTTTGGCAAATGAAAGTGGAAAGGGCGAAGCTACACAGGAGTTTTTTTCTGCACTCCCATCTGTGCCTTTCGCACAGAAAGAAAGTCTGCTCCCAGTAAATATTGGTCAATGTCAACACTAATAATCCCCCACCAAAGGCTGCTCTTCCTCTTTTTGTTTCCTGTCCTACTGGTGCTCCCAGGAGGAGTCTAAAATAACTTTCCATTCACAAGCCATATCCTGTTTTCCCTTGTTGTGGGTTTTTTGGGGTTTTTTTGGCCTTGTTTGTTCTTTGAATTACTTGCCTTTTCCTGGGGCTGTGGTCCATTTGCATGAGAGCAGGGACCTTCTTTCCTTACAGCTGGTCTGCTCCAGCTATGTATATCCCAATTAGCATTCCACAGATATGTTTCCTGGGCCCTGAAACTAATCCGAAGGGGATACCCTTCCTCCTGGTGTTAGAACAGTACTAGGGCCTAAATCCTCTTCTCCGTATAGTCAGTTGGAGTTTTAGGATAAGCTTTAATAAGAGCAAGATTAGGTCTTCAGTGTCCTTATTCCATTTTGCTCTAGCTTCATACACTCATACACTGTGCCTTCCCCTCAGAACAGATGCTCATCACAACATTGCTCACACTCTATTCACAAACCTACAAACAATGGACAAATGTCTTT